ATCGCTTCGAGCTCCGTCACGTACCCTTCCAGGTGGTCGTAGACGCTCGTTGCGATTGTTGCCTTCACCCCCTTGCACGCTGCTTTGAGGATCCTCCACGTTGCTGCGTTCGGTCTGGCCTTGAAGGCATGCCGCGCCGCCCGTCTGTGTGCACATAGTAATTGCGTAATACAGCAGTAGCGGCTACGGTTTAAGAGAGGGTCGGTATAAGCCAATTTCACTCTCTTAAATCCGGCTTTCTGTTATATCGTGTTGGCTACGGTATAAGAGATAATTCTCTTAAACAGTATCTCACTATAAGAGAATATTCTCTTATATCGTAGACAAAACTAAAGGTCGTGAAACAGGGACTCTCGCGCACAGACTACACTCGAATGCCAAAATAGGTCATGAAGGGGGCGTATCATGCATGTCATTTGCGCAGCTAGCGTTACCACGTCGGGCTACCTCCAAACACCGCTCATTCTCTTGGTTGGCAAGCACGTGGACCCAAGTACTGCTGTACGTGGTACGCTTTTGGTGGATCTGCGTTCGGAAAATAAATCATCGTTGTGTGATGCGATGCACATTTTGCACGTGAACACGTAAAAGGTTTTTGGTTGAGTTGTTTTATAGCTGTGTTTCATAGTCGCACCTCTTCTAGAAGGACAACACGAGGCAACGAATGCACCAGCACTCAAGAACGANGACACGCGGCAACGAATGCACCAGCACTCAAGAACGACGCACCCGTTTACACAATGCACCCCTGCCTCCCACCGTACCCTTAACATAACACCCTCACACCTCTCATCCCATCGATTTAAACCCCCGACAAAAACACAAGTCAACGAAAAAAAAAAGAGCTTCACAATATCAAAACATCACTCGCCGTACAAATAACACAAACCCAAGAAACCAACGCTACCCTGGCGACCTGTCAGCCTGAACACGATCTGCGCTGCAACCGTCAAAGGAAGTCGCTCATGCACGTCTGCTTGGTTTCCCTCGAACCGTAGGCACTCATCCACGCTNAACATTCCTACATACGAAGATCTCTGGTTTTTTCAAGCGCTATGTGCACACAGTAATTGTGGTGGGTGAGCACACAACACAGTCGGTACTACATAGATTGAGATTCGGGTTTCATGCATTCATAGAGACGGAGATGGAGAGATATGAGTTTGACCGAGCCGATACTTGAGCAAGTACAGTGCCGGCCCGCACTTAAGAACTTCCTATATTGGGCGAGGCTCAGTTCTTATTGGCTGCCCCAACCCGAGCACCAGTTCATATTTGCCAAGTTCATAATTCGTCGTCCATTCTTCTCCAGAAAGGGGCGTTCTTGTTCTTACAGTATTTTAACATCATTTGCTATATTGTCGGCTGTCAACCGTGAGCAACACTAGTACTGCTGGCGATACAAGAAAATACCAAGGCATAGAGTAGCAACTGTCAACCTTCTTGGTCCACAAGGATGACTTTGGTCCTGCGTACCCTTCCTGATCTACTAATGCTCTCAAGCAAAACCCAGGAGCCTACAGCCGCATCCGAATCTCCGCTTAACTTGTCTAAGGGCAACTTCATCTTGCGCGTACTTTGGTCTAGCTCCAGCTGCACACAGTAGTCGTACAGGTGGCGAGTGTCCTTCTGAGATTGTTGAGTGATCAGCCCTCCAAACCACCCCATGCCCAGCCTAACGAGCACTCCACGCCGCAAAAGCAATCTGTCAAGAGCAACGGGTGTAGTTCCTTGAATACGAAAGCCTCCCTGTATCTCATCCTCCGGGTCTTGTGGGTCCATGCTGTCGTCGTCGTTCAGAAGAGCTAGCTCGTCGGTCTGGGGTTGAGAGATGTCTGCGAACGAGGCAACGGGAAACACAAGAAATTCGGGTGTCACGTCGCCAAACTCAACCTGAAGTTATCATAATTTGAGTGTAGCCGTGCGCGGAAACAAGCTAACGTCAACATGAAGGACATCGTCATCAACAAAAAGAAGATGAAGAGTTGGTTTTGTGCAAACAAACTTACCGCCGTCGTCTTCATCGCTGGAGTTAACGCCCTCCATGAGCGTCTCACGTCCTCCATCGCCCTCCTCCGCCCGCCCCTCAGGCTCATCGTTGCCGTTCTCCGAACCTTGTTCGTCGTCGCTACTGTCTTCATCGTTAGCGAAGGTATACGGCTTGTCCAAACCCTCCAAGGTGATTCGATCATCGCCCGAGCCGTCCACGGTCATGGCCATCCCGCACTTTTCGAAAAGACGGTATCGGTACGCCTGTTGGCTGTTGAGTCTTGCCATGGCCGCTCCCATCCACTGAGTGATCAGGACGCGCCGATCAGAAGCTGTCAGCGACGCGGTTTCCCACCTCTCGAGGTTGTCCGACTGCTCGAGCCATATGTCCATCTGCCTCCCGACTTCCACCTTGAGAAATCGTCCGGCTAATGCATCAACTGGCTGCACCTCGTCCGTGCACTCCGAAGGGCCATACCAGGCGAGAATGTTGCAGTGCTTCGCAAGATGCTCCTTGAACTCGTCCGTGGTCTGCGCGTGCAAGTTGTCCACGATAAGAATGGACCTCGCCTTGGGGAGCTCGCCCCGCCCGCGCATCAGTCCTTCGCGGTAGGACCTCTTCGCCCACTCCATGCAGAACTTTTGGTCGGCCCACGCGTTCTCCTGGAAAAACACGTCCACGTCCTCGTGATACGCTGCCTTCTCCACCGGCGAGATCCGCTTTCCCGTGCCTCGGAAAATCACCGAAATGCGCATGGTCTTCTCACCCAGACCAAAGATGACTTGAATCGTGCACTGCCTTTTCTCTAGGCCAGGAAAGGGCTGCGAGATTGCTACCCGCAACTCACCTCTCTTGTCCCACGTGTCGAGCAGCCCGTTCACGAATGAAAAGACACTTGATCCACATTCCAACGTTCCCAGAGCTGGAATTGACCGTATTTGGGAACCCTGGACTCTTTCTCCGCGACCGTCGTGACTGCCGACACGTCGGACGCATCGGGCGCCCTGTACCGCACCGGCTCTTGCAGGAGCTTGCGAAACAGCNAGACCAAAGATGACTTGAATCGTGCACTGCCTTTTCTCTAGGCCAGGAAAGGGCTGCGAGATTGCTACCCGCAACTCACCTCTCTTGTCCCACGTGTCGAGCAGCCCGTTCACGAATGAAAAGACACTTGATCCACATTCCAACGTTCCCAGAGCTGGAATTGACCGTATTTGGGAACCCTGGACTCTTTCTCCGCGACCGTCGTGACTGCCGACACGTCGGACGCATCGGGCGCCCTGTACCGCACCGGCTCTTGCAGGAGCTTGCGAAACAGCCGGTGGAAGCGCTGGATCTTTGGAAGCCGCTCTTCGACAGACTCGTTCTTGAGGTTGGTCTGGCGTCTTTGGACAGGTTATGCCTCTTGGCCCATTTTCGTGCCCACCTGAAGGATGCGCGGAAGGACGCCGCTCGTTGATCCCCGGGGTACATCTATCGCATGAGCTTCCGGAACGTGATCGTCAGTCACAGGGTCGACACCTTCAGCTTTCTCTTCCGCCGCTCCACGAACCCCTTGTACAGTCGCTTCTCTGCCTTAGGAAACCACCGCTTAAGCTGCTGTTTGGCGAGGAGGCTCTTCTTTACGTCATCGGCTGCCACCGCGACCAATTCCTTCATGTTCTTGGCCCATTTCACTATATTGCTGTAGGGAATCTCTAGACGATCCTCCAAGAACTGAAGAGGCGTGCGCTGCTCCTCCTTCCAGAGGTCTTCGGCGTTGTCCTGGAGGATGCGCAGCTGGTTGACCGCGTGGGCTTTGAACCTGAAGTCGTATCGCCTGCGCTTGGGAGCCCCACGAGTGTCCTTGGGTTTGCGGTCCATAAAGCCGTTGCTATCCAAGTCGAGATCGAGAAAGCGCTTCCGCTGGAGGACAAACGAAGCCGTCCCCGTCGCATGATCGAACTTCACGTGCCAACAACGCCCAGGCCCGGCTGCTTCCCACGGCAGGACACTCCCTCCGACATCCTTCCGTAACATGCGCCGCAGCCGCACGCCGTTGGACATGTTTGCACTGCTGTGCTGCGTTCTCACGTGGATCCCAAGGCCTTGCTCGTTCACGAAGGTCATGGGACAGTGAGGGCAAGATCGGCGGGACTCCGGGGTCGGAGGTGGGAAGCTTATACCGGATATGAGCTCTTTCACTCCACCGCGAGTCCGCTCAATCTGCATGGCAAGGTGGAAGCAGGGCGGAGTTGCCAGGGGGGGGTGATTCAACGAGAAACGTCATGTATCGTTCGCTATGGAGTGTGGCGCTTTCGAACTCAAACCTCCGTGGAGAGCCGAAAGCTGTCTGTTTCGTTCGTGACTATTCAAACTAAACGAAGGTCATGGGACAGTGAGGGCAAGATCGGCGGGACTCCGGGGTCGGAGGTGGGAAGCTTATACCGGACATGAGCCCTTTCACTCCACCGCGAGTCCGCTCAATCTGCATGGCAAGGTGGAAGCAGGGCGGAGTTGCCAGGGGGGGGTGATTCAACGAGAAACGTCATGTATCGTTCGCTATGGAGTGTGGCGCTTTCGAACTCAAACCTCCGTGGAGAGCCGAAAGCTGTCTGTTTCGTTCGTGACTATTCAAACTAAGTATCAAGCAGAGAACGTGCACTGTTGTGACGCCAAAACAAAGTCGCCGGCATCCAAACTACAATATCTGCCTACACTATAATCTTTTAATGTTCTGGTCTTGCTTGAAAAAAAGGGGGATGAACGAAAAATATTTCTTATCATGTCTACACAGCAGCAGAATTCCACGAATCTGAAAAAGGCACAACTTTCCGGAGTATTTGCACCGGAGTTGGCTCTTGCCAGCAGACGCAGTTGACGAGAACTCGACACTCCTCCACTTGCTTGGGCACCTACAGCAAGAAACGGCGTGCGAAACGCAGTCGTTGCCAGCAGATGCCAGCAGATGCCAGCCCCAGAACTACGATCTTCCTTTTTTTTTACGCGCCGCTACTGAAGAAAAATGGCCCTCATCATGTCATCGTTTTCACGGGAGTTTTCCTTGAAAAACGAAAATAGTGTAGTATGTAGACTACACCGGTAGCGAAAAGTGTGTGCTCACCAGTCCTCGGCTGCCAATCGCGAACGCGTTGCAGATGTTGCCGCCTAAAGTGCCTTTAGCAGCTCTCTCCCTAGCTTGCTTCCCGCGATCCACGGCCTTTCTCCTCGCGGTACCTGCAGCAGCAGGTGGGTGCTGAGACGGCGGTGCAGCACCTCGCGTGCTACCGGCATCTTGTTGGGATGAAGAGGACAGGCGGGTGCTGCTGGTAATACCCTGCGTTTCGCCGTCAATCTGCTTGACCCACTCTTCTTCGTCGAAGACACCGTTCTGCTTCAGCCCCCACGCGCTCTCGATGGCGTCCCATCGCTCCTTCGCAACGGAGTTGCCCGCCTTCACGTGTGCTTTGATTGTCTCGAAGTGACGGTCAAGAATCAAACCCCTTTGTTTCAACTCTGCAAGTTTGCCAAGCTCTTTCAATATCCCATTGGATAAGGGATTGCACTGGGACATGATCCCCCTGCACCGCAGGCAGCTCGTGGCACGCTGCACGTTGCGTGGCACGCACGCTTTTTTCTCGGGGGGACCCAGGGGCACGACGCGTGCTTACAATGCCCACCCTCCCCCTCTAAAAAAATACAAATATTAAGGGTACCCGCGGACAACCTCCTGCTATGTTGCCTAATTTCGAAAACAAACGCAAGAGCGCCAGAAAATGCACTAGAGACACATAAGACCAGTCGGAAGACATCGCAAAAAAAACAAGTCCAAAATTCTGCCACAGGGCAGCAGTAGAGACCGCTCAAAACGTGCTTTTCGCGCGTCTACCTCCACACGCATCCTTTGAAACCAAGATGAAAATCCACACCAGTCTAAATTCAAGTCAAAAGAGCCCAAACGGAAGGCGCTCAAATAAGGCCGGTGTTGCTAGGAACCTGGTCCATTGTACCAATATCACTAGAGGACACCCTATAGCAGCAGGGGGGTGTGTTGGCGCGCTCAAAACTTCTTCTGTGGTGGTGGTATCGAGTGTCGTTGTAGTGGCCCACAATCTCCGCAAATCTCCGCAAGTTAGATCGACACCCAGTGTCTTGTACTGCTTGTGCTCGCCGCCACTGAACCCAATCTTCTGAACTGCAGGTTTACAGCAGTAGCTGATGCCACCAGCTACTGCTGACAACCCGCAGTTGAGGGGTTTGCGGTCCGTGGTGGTGAGCACCGCTGTGACAAGTGTTGGGTTCCGCTTGGTTCCGGCGCAGATTTCGGACCGTTTTCAGAGGCTGCTGCGACCTTCGATATTTCAGCCCCAGTAATATACCTGAACGTGCCAGGTGCCAGCACGCACGACGCCTCTTGATGATATCCTCTACTGATACTAGCACAACGGACCAGGTTCCTCCGGCGGGAAGGTTGTTTTCTTTCTTTGTACTGTTATAAAGTATGAGAAAAGAGCCAGCGTCAAAATCCCTTGTCTGGGTACGGGGTATGTACCCCTCCCAAATCCAATACTCTCTACTCTGGGATCACTCTTCCCTCCCTCCCCCTGCGAGTATTCTTATCTGGCAGCCGCTGCATTGCTGCCGTTCTTATTTGTAGCAGCAGCTTTGCACCTCAGGTGTGTATTCTTGTTCCTAACAGGGCGTGCAGCTGAGCACGCACGTGTTCTTATCGGTAAATTCTCAAGTATTATTAGCCGATAATGGTGCCTTGGAGTGATCCACTGGGATTCGAACCCGTGCATGAATCCTTGGGTTCGAATCCCAGTGGATCGCTCCAAGGCACCATTATCGGCTCATAGCAGCATCTCCGTCCCCGAAGAACACTATCCACCCTCTCAGATCCACTGGGATTGGCTGTGAGCCGAGAGTGTATCTTTTTTTTATTGGATAAAGAAAGGCTGACCATTTGACTCCGTGCAGTCATCAAATGGTCAGCCTTTATCGAATAATTATCGGCAAAATAGCAGCATCTTATTGCGAGGGGTCCGTCCCCAACAACATGTTGGTGAAAAGCGAAGCATGATAATGAGAGCGAGAGCCAAAACAATTAAAATTCGGGTCCAGACGCCTCGTGCCATTTCTTGGGAAGTTGGGGACGGGCTCTTCCAAGAAGCGGCGCAAATTGAAGCTATGTCAGCGCCTTAGCCGTGGAAAGCTTTGGCCGCCTTGGAGAGGAGGGTTACGAGTTCATCGATGAACTTGCGACACATGCCGTGGGGGGAAGGAACGGAGGAACGATGGCTCTGAAAGGAGTCTTCAAGGAACGACTTCTTCAGACCGTTTCGGTGGCTACACAGGTGGCCATATCTCGGCGAGTGCAGAGGTACAAGCTCGCATTGCGCGGGCGTCAAGACGCCGAAAACAGGCGAACAAGATCGACCTCGAACCAGTCAACGCCAACAACAGCATATTGATGAAATTGAGAGCGAAGCATCTGATTGAGAGCGAGATTGCGCGATGCGCTGCAGATGGACTACTGCTGAGAGGTGGAGCTTGCTGTGTAGCTTGAATTGAAGGGTCCGCCCGTAGCTACAAGCAGATACCCTGGTCATCCTGTGGGAGTCTCTCGATGTGGAGTTACAGCGGCGAGCAGGAGCTACAGCAGAGCCCACCGCCCGAGGCCAAACCGGCCTGCAACAGTTTGAGGCAGGAATAGCCAATCTGGGGAAATCTAGCAACTTGTCTAGCTCCTAGCTGCAGCACCCGATGACGATGACACGCATATACGCTCGTGACGCTGCTGATGAGACCTTCAATCTGCGCCGCTTCTTGGAAGAGCCCGCCCCCTACTTCCCAAGAAATAAATGGCAAGAGGCGTCTGGACCCGAATTATCATTTGTTGGCTCTCGCTCTCAATTTCATGCTTCGCTCTCAATATCACCAATATGTTGTTCAATGATATGGGGATGGAGTGTAGACGCGTCGTTGAACGCATTTTCGTTTGAAGTTGCCGTCTTGTTTGAGAGTAGATGTGACAGATTTGCGTAGAATAGGGTAACGTATTGGTTTAATATTCATGTAGAGTATGAGACATTAAGTAAAAGTTTTCTGAGGTACATCTGCAATTGTCGGAAGGCAAAAATAAATAAAAAATAAAATAGGGTAAGGCTGTGTCTTATCAGGCCGAAAAAATACGTGACTTATTTTACCGAACAGTAACTTTTTTCACGGAACCGTAACTAGGGTTTCCAGTGGTTCTTATCGGCAGAAGGCGCGAAGGTGCGTATTTTTTCAAAATTTACGGAAAGCGCCACGGCTCGACGCACACACACCGGTCCGACCAGGCGAGAGACCCGAGGACTCCCACAACAGACGTGATAAACCCACACCATGAACAACAACGCCGCAGCAGTGGCAGGCCGGNGTTTCCAGTGGTTCTTATCGGCAGAAGGCGCGAAGGTGCGTATTTTTTCGAAATTTACGGAAAGCGCCACGGCTCGACGCACACACACCGGTCCGACCAGGCGAGAGACCCGAGGACTCCCACAACAGACGTGATAAACCCACACCA